GAAGACAGTGTTCCTTCAAAAATGAAAATAATGTCACCCTCTGGTCAAAAGTCAAACAAGCTTCCCGCCCATTATAAAAGATTTGAGCTCCTTAAGCTCAAGGTTCTTCTGCCACAAAACTTCCTACACCTGTAGGGGTCATTTAGCCTGTGTCATCAGCACAAATGCTGATACTCTGGCAAATCTGCAGCTGCTGAGTGATAACCTGTCCACCTGGGGCCCGGGAATTCCATGCGTTCTGCCATCATCTGTGAAACTACAGTGGGCGAAGCCTTCACAGTACTTGACACGCCGTTTTGGCCATTCTGAGTAAGACCTGTCACTTCCAATTACTCAGCAAGGAGTTCCTATACACAAAATCTAGCCTAGATGAAATACCTGCATGGGCATAATCTGTGGTCTATGTGTATATACATCAATGCATAATTACTATGCATTTCTTAAAGTTGTGCTCATATATTTACAAACTTTGTTTTCAACTTAAGTTCTTCGCTTAAAGATAAAATCCCTTGGGGCACCTGGGTGGCTCAGTCGTTAAGTATCTGCCTTCAGCTCAGGTCATGATCCCAGGATCCTGGGATCGAGTCCCACATCGGGCTCCCTGCTCCGTGGGAAGCCTGCTTCTCCCTCTCCCACTCCCCCTGCTTGTGTTCCCTCTCTTGCTGTGTCTCTCTCTGTCAAATAAATAAATAAAATCTTAAAAAAAAAAAAAAGATAAAATCCCTTGCTTACTTCCATCCTCTCCCTTTTCTTCATTTGCTAAGATAGTCAAGTCTCTATTTAATGGTTATGCCACTAAAAAAATAACTGGATATATTCATTTCAGTGTAAAATGTGCTTAAAAACATTAATGACATACAGAAGTTCTGTCAGAAGCAATTGATATTTCCTTTAGGCAATCATATTACTTCGCAAAAATATTTATGAGCTGCTCAAATTTTCATAATGCATATTCATTGTTACCTACATGTCATAGCCTATTAGCTAACATAAAGGATAAATTATTTTAATAGCTTCTTTTGATAATGTCAAAGTCAATAAATCCACTGAAAATAATTACAGAATTTGAGCTCCTTTTATATTATCAGGTGTTATAGATTAAAACAATTCTAAATGAAGCTGATTAACTGGTTAAGTGTTGACAATGTAGAAAATAGAGAAGCCATTAAAATAAAAGGAAAATGATGCACTACATATGCAAATGATATACTACCAAGAAACTACAGTCTCCCACAAATTCGTATCACCTTACATGAGGATTCAAAAATTAGTTTAACGACTATATTCCGTGTAATTAAGGAAAGTGACTATAAAAATCTCTAATCTTCTTTGCCTATTCACTCATCTATTGCTATTCACTATATTCTTAGAGAATATAACAAAATTATTTTTTAATGAATTAAATGTCTTCATGAAGAAAAAGATACAAAAACTTATATGTGGACACACACACACACACACACACACACACACACTCATGAATACCATCAATTCTTCCATGTTGCAATATCTCCTGGGAAGTTCTCAAACAACAGAAGAGTTTGGAACTCTGTGTTTCATAATAAAATAGGCAATTTAATAACTGTATATTTTACAAAAATGATAAAATCAGTTTCTTGAGCCAAAAAATTTTAAAATATTTTATCACATTTTAGGATCTCATCATACCTAATGCTCTCATTAAATGAAGAACACATAATAATAGCTACCAGTATTGGTCACCTGTTATGTTCAAGGCACTGCACTAAGTAGTTTATATACAGTCTTATTCAATCCCAGTGACAACCCTGAGATGTAGGTATTATATCTGTGTTTTAAAACAAAGAAGTTAAAATTCAGGGAAGTTAAGTGGTTTTCCTGATGTCATACAATTAGATAGTGACTGAGTTGTAACTGGACCATCTGTCTGACTCAAAAACCTATGAGGGTAGCTATTATTATCATAACTATTACTTCCTTAAAAGCAACTAATGTCCATTCTTGGTTCCAGGTTTAACTTTAGATGTCAATTTGGCCTCCCCAGTATGAAGGGATATACTACTCACGCCAAGTCAACTCCTCTAGCACTTACGTCAGTAATATTTATTGTAATAAACTAAGTTCCAACTGCTATACTTGCTGATTCAGTGGTGTCTAAATTCAGCAAAGAATGAAGTGACATGTTCAAAACAACCCTGGAATACCCCTAGAAAAGTACCACAATGATAACCAACCACTTTCCATTATTTCTAATAAAGAATGTGTTTCTTCTAGCATTGAAAGACCACAGCCCTCCAAGTTACTAAGACTGAAATCAGGTGCTCTGAATTTCACAAATAAATTTGTATAATTTAAGTAATGTGAGTTTATTCTCACATACTACATTCCAGATATGTGTACTCATTGAGTGAAGTATTAAAACTTCAATTATTTGTTATTTTGCTCTTCTTTTCCTTAAACATATGTATTCTGCAATACCACCAAACAGTAGTATTAGACTCTCCTGCTTAGAGAAATAAAAGCAGTTCTGGAAGACATTCTTTTTTTTTTTTTTTAGATTTTATTTATTCATTTGAGAAACAGATGAGAGAGCATGAGCAGGGGTAGAGGCAGAGGGAGAGGGAAAAGCAGGCTCCCTGCTGAACCAGGAGCCCAATGTGGCGCTCGATCCCAGGACCCTGGGATCATGACCTGAGCCAAAGGCAGACACTTAACCATCTGAGCCACCCAGGCACCCCAAGACATCCTTTTCTAATCCTTAACAATTTTCTTCCAATTTTTCATTTAAAACTTCTTTTATAAAAAATGTTAATGAAACAGATGTTGATTTATTGTAATTATGCTAAATTAACAAGGGTTTTCACCTGTTAAAGTAGTGTACAACTGGATACTAAGATGCTTTGAAGAGGTACACTTTCCAAATTTGGGGGTTTTTCTTCCAATTGAAAGTTACTGTGATCACAGTGGTCTTCCCCCCGCCCTTTTTTTTTTTTTAAGATTTATTTATCTTTAGAGAGAGAACTGCAAAAGTGAGATGGAAGGTGGGGGGGGAGGGGTCGAGGGAGAGGGCCAGAGAGAATCTCAAGCAGACTCCCTGCTGAGCACTGCCAAGGCAGGGCTCATCTCAAGACCCTGAGATCTTGACCTAAATCTAAATCAAAAGGGGGATGCTCAAAGGACTGAGCCACCCAAGTGCCCCCACAGTGATCTAAGAAGTAAAACATCAAAATTTCCATGGAATTTCTCATTGTTTTCTACTGCCCTCTGCTGTGGTAATCCTCAAAAAAAACTTTTTAATCTCCCTTCCTCAAGAAAAACTATGACATCTAAAACTCTTGGAATGTGGTATGTAAATACCAAATGCTAAAAAAAAATATATCTTTAAATTATATTTGTAAGTATAGCTTTAATTTTTTTTTTTAAGATTTTTTTTTTATTTATTTATTTGACAGAGACAGAGACAGCGAGAGCAGGAACACAAGCAGGGGGAGTGGGAGAGGGAGAAGCAGGCTTCCCCTTGAGGAGGGAGCCCGATGTGGGACTCGATCCCAGGACCCTGGGATCATGACCTGAGCCGAAGGCAGACGCTTAACCAACTGAGCCACCCAGGCGCCCAGTATAGCTTTAATTTTAACAGTTCTCCTCTAAACCTCGTACCAGAATTCCACGAAGAATTTCCTGTGGTCTACTTTCATGTTAAAATTAAAAAGCTAGGGATGCCTAGGTGGCAGAGTTGTTTAAGCCTCTGCCTTCAAAGGGGCATGATCCCAGAGTCCTGGGATCAAGCCGCATGGGGCTCCCTGCCAGTGGGGAGCCTGTTTCTCCCTCTCTCGCTCCCCCTGCTTGTGTTCCCTCTCTCACTTGCTCTCTGTCGAATGAATAAAATCTTTAAAAAATAAAAATAAATAAAATTAAAAAGCTAACGGGAAGAAGTTACTATTGAGTTCAGAGTTGTTTCAGGAAAAGAGTAAAGAGAATCAATTATTTTTGCACATGAAGCTATTTTTTCACTCTCTACCCAGCTATCAGGAAACTTGTGGTAATACTTTAAACCCGAATTAGATTTTGAATCACGTGTGTGTAATACTTCACCAGGAAAAACTATCTTGAATAAGCAAATACTTACTAAAACAATGTACTCTTAGGGCACCCGGGTGGCTCAGATGGTTAAGCGACTGCCTTCGGCTCAGGTCATGATCCCAGGGTCCTGTGATCGAGTCCCGCATCGGGCTCCCTGCTCCTTGGGAGCCTGCTTCTCCCTCTGCCTCTCTCTCTCTCTGTCTCTCATGAATGAATAAATAATAAAAAAAAATCTTTAAAAAAAAAAAAATGTACTCTTAGAAACACTACTCGCATTTCCAAATAACTTTTTTCCGATCCTGCTAGAGTATCCAAGGCAAAAATGGATAACTGAAATTCACAAATTACTATTTTAAATATAGTGATTTCAATCCTCTTAAAGTTTTTAGAGGACTAAGATTGAAATCAGGTGACCTTCACAAATTTAGCGAACTTAAAATTATGTGAGTTTATTCTCACCATTATAGGAGTTCAACCTAAAGAAAAACCTACAGCTTTAAAAATGTGTAATTATGAATACAAACGTAAACGAGTAACGAAGGGAGCTGAGTACTGAACAAAAAGACCAAATAGTTCTCCCAGGTTTGCAAATGCTCCTGAAAGGCACTTTCACATCCAACACACCCCTTTTAGTGACTCCAGGGCCCAGAGCTCGGCCTCCGAAGGTCAAAAGCGCCGTGAGTCTGAAAGGCGTGCGGTGCTCAGGCGCAGAGGGAAAGGGGACGCTTTACTGCTTTTGAGAGACCACCAGGCTGACCCCACATCGGCGACTGCGTGGCCCACAGGCCTCCCAACCGCTGGGCTCTTGCCCGCAGGCCGCCCGCGCCCAAGCCCAGCTGCCCGGCTGCCTAGCAACGCGGCCACGCTGCCCGGCAACGCCGCCGCCCCCGCCCGCCCTAGCCAGCCTGGGCCCACCCGGAAGGCCAAGGGGTTCGCTGTACCTCTTTTTTCTTCTGTCCTCCCCCGAGCTGGATGCAGAGAAGTAGCAGGAGGAGGAGAAAGGGGAAGCTCCCGGTGGGCAGGTATCGCAGCCGCCGCCCCGCCTGCCTCCGGCGTGAAGGAGCGCCCCTGGCACCCATCGCCGCAGGGCAGTGTCTCCTCCACGCTCGGTAACCGTGCGCGCCCAGCTCCTACCGGCGTCCTACTCCTGCCAGGCTAACCGCCGGGAGCCCCTGCCCGTGCCCTCGTGGGTTCCTGCGGCTTCGCCAGGGAAGCGGAGGCCGCCGGGGACGCGGAGGAGGAAGCTGACAGAGCATCCGGTTCACCGGGAGAGGGGACCTGGAAAGGCCCGGGATGGGGCAGGAAGTGGGCGTGGCGAGGGAACGCGGGCCTCGACCACGGCGCGCTGCGCCCCGGGCCGCAGTTCTCGCCGAGACCCACGCCGCGCGGGGCCGCGGTTCTCTGGCTGGCCGGCTGAACGCTACCGAAACCAAGGCGAGGGTCCGGGAATATGCGAGGGGCCTCCTCAGTCCAGCAGAAGCAGACTCCTGTGTACCTGGAGCCACAGACAGACCTAATTGCCTTCTAGGATGATGGAGGAGCGATTTAAGCAATTAATAAGCACGTGGCCCCTGTGGCCAAGGGGCAATCTCCGTTTCCATTGGGAGGTTTTTAGAGACACATCTGTGGCTCAACTGAGCCCTCTCAAGCCTCTAACATAATCCACGTAATATAATCCCGCGGATGCGTACTAGCCACCGGCCACTTCACAGCTGTTCCTTGCAGTCCCAGTTGAGGGGCCTGAGGAGCCAACCTTCCCACCACTCTTTCCCATTCATTCAGTATCCCTGGAGCGCCAAAGTGCAGAGCACTGGACTAGACACTTGGGAATGCAAAGATGAAAAGGACTCAATTCCTGCTCTCTGAACATTTTAAGAACAATAGCAGCAGACCTATCTGATATGGGTCAAGTACTGTTGTTACAGGATTTCTTTTCCTTCGGTGCCGGGTTTTTGGTTAGGCTGCTTGGAAGAATGACGAGGGAGACCAGAGGAAAAGTGGAGGGCAGCAAAGCAAAGTTTATTGAGTGACAGTACCAAGCTTCCCAAGAGGGAGAGTATCCGAGAGGGTTGCCAACTTGGGGTTTAGATCTAAGGGTTTTTTATGGGCTTGTTGGAGGGCGGTTTTAATCTGATTAACCCTCCATCATCCAATCAGGTTTTTGCCATCTACCTATCAACTTGGAAAAGGGTGGAAGGCTACTTTCAGGGTGTTGTAAAATCCTTTTGAGGGTGGTTTCCTCTTGCGGGGGAGGGGGTAAGGGCTTGTCCCTGCCTGCCTTTCTTCCAACTGTCCTCCATTACTGTTCTAATGTAGCTTTTATTCTACCTCAAGATTTCTTCTCTTTTATCATGAACATTTCTGATCGTGTAATAAAGCCTATTGGCCCAGTCTTAAAACAGTATTTCTAACTGCAAAAATTAAATTCATAAGATTACAAAGGAATCAGTTATAATTAAATACCATTATCAAAATTAAAACAATTCACCTCCTTTCACCTGGTGGTTTGTATTTGGGGAAAGCTGAAAAGCAAGGGTAGATGTTAGAACCAATGTATAAACACTCAGACTTCACAGTGTGATTATGATTGACCAAGAGGCACAGAATTGTAGGATACTTGGCCAACTAAGTAGCATGAGGGCTGAAAATAAATTCTGCAATCATACGAAATCTAGCAGTGTATCTAACAGCAATTCTAATAAATATGGTAATATGACAAACAGTATTTCAAAATATCTACTACTACTGTGATATGAAATTATTTGTAATTTCTGCAGGGAACAAAGCCATATGTACTGCTAATACTACCATGCTTTGCTTTCTACTTTATAATTGAAGAAAACAAGATTCTCATAAGAGGTTAATAGAAATACGGTTAATTTTTTTTCAATTCAAGTTTCATAGATGCCCTCAAATGTCATGGACTCCAGATTAAGAACTCCTGCTCCACAACAACCTTATTAGATAAGTCCTATTGTAACAATTTCCACATAAAGAAACTAAGGCCAGGAGATCTAACTCAAAGTCATACAACTAGAAAAAGGTGTCCCAGGAATTTGAACTTTGGCAGTCAAGCTCAATAGCCACAATTGTATACTATGCTATGCGACCTTTTTTAAAGGAATTTACAAATAAATCTATCTCCCGGGCTTTTGATTTCCCACTATTGTGTGCGCATTTTTGCCCATAGTAACTTCTCCCAAGAGAATAGCCCATTGCTTTTTCCTTGAGACTTGTGAAGGTGGCATCCACTTTTATCTATCTGTAACTTTATGGTTTATATGGAGATATACTCAACATAATCAAAATCCACCATCTGCCCCTTCATCTCCCAAATTTATCTTAATTTCTTTTATTGCAATTAATGGTACCACTGTAACCGAACCAACATGAGTTCACTCCTTGCTGAGTCACAGATAGAAACTACACCAGTTGAGTTGTTGCACAAAGGGAACTTTATTTGCAGTAAATAAGGAGATCATAGGAAATAATTTCCAAAGCCGTGACTCTTTGAGCAAGGGTGAATGGGTTCCTTTTATTTAGGTTTAGGAGGAATATTTTAAAAGGGGATCCTTGTTATTGTATATAGAGGTGGACATAAGGTCACGCAATACACCTTAAGGAAACATGCCTATACATGCATTGTTTAGTATTATAAAGAGACAAAGGTAATTATTGGTCATTCTAGAGGCCATTCCGTGGTACCTGCGCAGATACATGATAGGGAGTTACGTTCAAACTGGTCTGAGTAGTCTGGGCTGGCTGGAGGTCTTGTCAAGGCAGTTGCTATTGCTTGAGGGGTGGTTTTGCTTTCCATTTGCCTGGCTTAAGAATTAGGCAGAAAGAAGAGCTTAAGGAAAAATGTAGGACAGAGGGAGGTGAGTATAAGCAGTAAAGGTCAGGTCTTGCGATCTGGTTTGTGACACCACCATCCTCCTAATTACCAATTTTCAGAGCCTCCAAGCTGCCCATTCTCTCCAACCATACTGCCATTGTATTTGGTTTCCAACTTCCTCTGCCTCCACAGTGTCTTAAAATTTGTTTTCTTCTTTTTATTTTGTAACTCTAGCATTCATTAGACAGACATCGGACATCATTATTAGTCCAATCTCCCCTTGCTTCTAATCTTACCATCCTCCTCTACCAGCCTAATCCAAGACTTTTTAATCCTACCTTCTTGCATTCTATTCTTGGTAAATTAGAGTGATCCTTTTAATACATAAACCAGTGCAAAGTAATTTCTCTGTCCTCAGCATAAAAAGCAGTCTTTTCCACGCCCTCAGGACCCTACTGTTACTTGGAGCCTGGTTACCTTTCCAACCTCATTCCCTACTTCTGCTTTCTCACTCTGCTCCAGCTGGGCTGTTTTCTTTTCCTTAAATATGTCAAGCATACTCTGTCTCTGTCCTTCACACTGTTGTTCCTTCACCCTTCTCACAGAGATAGATGGTCACATGGCAAACTTTGTCACTTTATTTACATTGAGGCTCAGAGTTCCTAAAATGTCCTCGTGAGATAGAGAAACTGAAGGGAACCCATAGGGGGTAAAAAAACTGGCTTTTTATCTCCTTTTCCTCCTTCTGTTCTTTGCTAGGATCTGCACCGCCCCCCCCCCCCCCCCACACACACACTTGCCTTAATGTATGTCCTCCTTGTAAAGGACAAGGAGTAAATGATTTCTTTGGAGTCTTCCAGCACAACAGATAACATCTCAGGAATGACTGGGTAGGAATGACCAGGCAAGGCCATCATGTGTGTCTTCTAGACCACTGGCACCAGACATCTCAACACCAAGACCTCCTGGCTCCAGGGAATCAGTGACTTATGATAGACATCTGGACCCTGTCCTCGTTCAGACCACTTCTAGATGCCTGAGAAGACACGTGCACCAGACCACAATCATCAATAAAAACCCTAGACCCCAAACAAAGGAGAGATTGCCTCTCCTTTGTTTTCCAAGTCTCCTGGACACTGTCTGTACCTGCACTCTCTACATATCTTCAATAAACTCTGCTGCACTTTCTACTGGCTCACATTTGATTTCTATCCTGCTGCGCTTAGCAAGGACCCTCTTGGCTGGTCCTGCTGGACCCCCTCTTGGTCCTCGGGACCCAGCCTGCCTGCATCAATCTCATCTCTCAGACAACCCTTTTTAAAAACTAAACTCCTTACCCTACACACACACGCACACACACACACTTAACTTTTTTATAGCATTCATCATTACCTGAAATTAAGCTATTGATTCATTTATTTAGGATTAGGATGTAAGCTCGGTAAAACAGGGCTTTCATCTACATTGTCTAGAATAATCCCTGTTTTACAGTTTTTATAGTATCTATCACTAACTGACATTATGCATTTCTATTCATTTATCTGTCTTTCCCCCCAGTGGAATGTAAACTCCATGAAGGCAGAGACTTTGTTTTCTTTGAGTCCACACTACAAAGAATAGTACATTTGTTGAATGAATGAATGAATGAATGAATGAATGAATGAATGAATCCAGCCATTCTCTGTTTATTCCCTAAAGTACAATACTAAGCATGTCACTGTCTTTAGTCCACAGACTTTCAGTAGCTCATCCCTAGGTTCCAAAGGAGGTTCAAACTCTGGATAATGGCTTGGAGCCAAGTTAAACTCTTTACTCTTGTTTGAAGCAGGCTTCAAACTGGAGTTTACACCAAAGACTAAGAAGAAGAAGGTAGTGGGAGGGGAAGAATGAAGCGGGGGAAATCGGAGGGGTAGACGAACCATGAGAGACGATGGACTCTGAAAAACAAACTGAGGGTTCTAGAGGGGAGGGGGGTGGGAGGATGGGTTAGCCTGGTGGTGGGTATTGAGGAGGGTACATTGTGCATGGAGCACTGGGTGTTATGCACAAACAATGAATCATGGAATACTTCATCTAAAACTAATGATGTAATGTATGGGGATTAACATAAGAATAAAAAAAAAACTAGAAAAGAAAAAAAAATAGTTTTAAAAGAATTCACTTCCAAAATCTCAACAATCCTGTGTTCTTTCCTAAAATTGATGGACTTGGAAGAAGTGCCTGAGGTGCAGGCTAACTCTTAGTGGTTCTTCTTGCCCAGCTTTGTTTGCCTTTTATCTTAGCTAAAGAAGGAGATCTCTCCCTCCATCCCCATTTCTGCTTTCAACAGTATTGAAAGAGGACATGCTCCAGTTATCAGCTATAGATCATTTAAAAATTGTTTTGGGAATAGAACACTATGTAATTTTTGGCCCTTTACTCAAAAGGAG